CTTTATAGTGTGCTCCTCGATGAATTATTTTTTTCCGTAGTCGGTGGGGTTTGGGTATTGAGAGAGAGGAGAGTGAGAAAAAAAAAGGTTCTCGTATAATAATATAGTACGATTTAAAAAAAAAAAACACACTTATGTGTAACAAGTTATTCTGTACTTATAATAATCTACGTCATATCGTAGATTTTAATGTTACAGAGAAAAAAGAAGACTTTATTTACTATGGGTTTGTACATGGGTTTTTCTTAAATAATAATATCCTAGGTGCCTTTTAACTATGCTCACCTCATTTGTATGGTTAAATTATGCATAAATTCAAACTTTAATTTTGGAATTTTTAAGTGTAGTAAAAAAAAAAACATTTTTCGAATTCTTATAGATTTTACAATTTAAGAATATCCGGTGTTCTTAACAGCTTTAGTTTTATAAATGATAATTTAAATCTTTTGTAGGTGATAAATACACCATACCTAACAAGAAATCGCCTATACACGACTTCTATGTAATAGTCTGTATTCAATCGCCATATACGAGTAAGTAAATTCTTTATATAATTATAAAAAAAATTATGTGAAATGTAATTCTTAAAATGTCCCCTTATCATGCGATATACGTAAAGAAATGAGTTCATTATTATAAATTGTATAAGTTTTTTTAATACAAAATACCCTATAATTTTTATAATGAGTTACATAGAAATTATAGAAATACTTTTAATAATTAAAATTTACAATAATTATTACTTTATAATATATGCTATATTATAGTAAAATATTTAAATAGGTATTGTATATTGTCTTCAATAATGACAAAAAACCACAAACATACAAACATATCGATTTTCTTTTTTTCTATGTTTTCCTGACTCCATGACTGCAGTGGACAAACTGTAACAAATTTAGAGGTGGCAGTTTTGTTGAGTTATTAATTTTTGTTTTTATCACAAAATGCAAATCACATAATAACATTATTCATTAAGTTATTAGTTAGCCGTTAGTTTAGTTAGTTCAGTACACGTTGATCAAAAGTCAGAATTTAATTTAAATTTTAGATTCTGATTGTAGCGAAGAATGTACCTATTGAACTTACAATAACATATTTTTTATTTTTACTTTGTTAAAATTGTCTACAAGAAATCTTGCACCGATATATAAGAGTTACACTTTTTTTGAAAGAAAATATTCTCATATTGACTAGATGGTATTTTAGAAANCATAATATCAAGAAAACTCAGGATAAAACGTAAGAAAAACGGGAAAATTTACGAAAACAATGCTTTTATTATTTTCAATTTTGTATTTTGGTTTAATTCAATTTAATATTCGAAGACTTTAAATTTGGATAGAAAATTTATATTTACCTATTTTTGATGTACACTTGTTGAGCAATTAAAAAACATTTTCATTTTACGAGTTTTGTACGTAATTTTTATTTGGCAGGTACTATGTGGATAAAATTATTATAAAAAAACAGAAATGCTTAAGAATTTAATATAAGGTTCTTTAAAAATTGTACAATGTGGTAAAAAAATAATTTGGAGCATAGGCTAACTGATTTATCACTTTATAGTTATTCATCGAAATAAAAATATTAATAGGTATAGAAAATATTGCTGATCCAACAGCTTCCAAAACGCTGCTTAAAATAAGAGTATTTTGGACGTAGTCATCTAACTTTTTTTAAATATTATTCATATTTTTTTTGGACATCAGCCATAAAAGTTTTAAGTTTGTATTGATTAAAGCGGTGGTATTCAAAAGTAAAGATTGTTTGCCTCCCCCCACCCATGGGAATTGACCCAAGGATGCCTCCGAGTATTAATCTTAACCGAGCTTCGCTCAGAATTGTTTTTGTTAACAATGCTTAAATTTGCTTTGGTATAGATAAACATTAAATTTCCCTCAATATCCCATCTACCCAACTTTTTATCTCTAAAAGTGGTTACCAATTGTGCGAAGTCTGTCCATATTTTTTTCTTATTAATCATTAATATTCAATTTATTTATTTATTTATTTACCCACTCATTATAATAAAGGTCTAAAAATGCCCCTGTAATAATATGTGAAAAACTCCATAAATGACTTGGGTAATAGTTTACATAAATAAGTGGAGCAACAGCTATACGCCGGCACTGTTCGCAGTGTTTTTAGTAGTGTTTCAATAATAAGTGTTTTTTCCCCTACTCTAACTTAAATCTGAACTATCTTAACGTAATTTTATTTTCCTACCAAAATATAAATAAATTTGATTTTCAAAATAGTTGATAACAAATTATACCGTAAAAGACGTCAAGAAATTAAATTTATTTCCTCTCCCTCTTCGCCCCCTGTATATGAAAAAAGAAATTTCGTTAAAAAAATTTCCAGTAGCATTATACAGAGAGTAAACGGCCACAAATAAAATAAAATAACGAATAAAAA